ATGTGGATATGAAGCTGTACGACCAGGGTTGTCTTGTTTTGCAGCGCCATCCATCCCCTCGGCCATCTTGCCCATGTGTGCGTGCGTGTGTGCGTGTGCGTATACGCGTTTGTTTGACAAAGAGAAGTGGCTGCTACTAATGTAGAACAGCTTTTAGACTACTAAGCCCACCATTGCGTAACCTCACTCTGGCTCCATCAAATAGCAAACTGTAATCTTTTTCAGCAGCATCAGCAGCATCAGGCACACAGACACGCAACGTAACCGCAATATCTTCATCATTCAGTCACAATGTGGTTTCCTCTGGGACTTTCTACAAATCTCCGCTCGGCTCCAACCTGCTATTTTCATTCTGGCCACCTGCTGTGTCGCCGGCCTCTCTGCATCGCCTCGCTCCACAAAACACACACGCACACTAAAGTAGGTCTACTTCTCTTTGTGTACCACTCATCTATGAAACTCCGGTCCACACAGCCACACACACACACACCACCTTTGGGACCCTGAATTAATTGGTTTCTCTCTCTTAAAAGGGTTTGGGTTGTGAGTTAAACTTGTGAGTCATACTTTTAAGCGAGAAAGAAAAAACACAATAGAAACTGAGGGAAAGTCGTTCATGACAACAGGCCAAAGTTAGACACATTGTAAATAATTATGTGGGACCAACCTGTCAAATAATGAAAAAAACAATCCTGCCACAAATACCATAATTTATAGTTAAATACTGAGTGTGAATCTATAACAGGACCAGGCCATAAATCAATATGATAATCTATCTTTTGTTTAAATCATATATAAAAAAAAGTAATACCAGAAATATTTTTGAGGTAAAGTTCTAACAATTACAATCAATACATGACTTATTTGGCATTCAGTATACACAAGAGTATGCAATTATATATAAATATATTTATTGATTACAAGAAAATAGATTTGGGCCATATGGCCGAGTCCTGAACTAAATCCTAAAGTCGTCTGAGCTGATGTCCCACATGAGCACGATCCCTTTCTGAGCGTGACGGAGATGCGTTTGTAGGACTATGCTCGGCTGCGGCGCCTCATGACCCCCCGTCAACAGACGATGAGACGCCTCGTCCTGCATTTACAAATGAACAGCAGCCGGTGACGAGGTGGATGGGTAACGGAGCGATCACACGCTGGACAAAGCCGAGGGGTTTCCGATGTCTGACTTTGTTGTGATGCGGTTTGTCTTTCTATTTAATATAAAGGATACCGGAGCCCTCCGTGTCAACTCTGCATTCATATTTAATGGATTGCCGTTTGTATTGCGTGAAACAAGTAGTTGGGGCCCAGGGAGACGGGGATGGAGGTAAACTTACTGCGAATCTGTCTCTTGATGTCCTTAGTGGGGTCCAACCAACACTAGAGAGAGAGGGAGGGAGGGAGGGAGGGGGGTGGGGCAAGAAGGACGTTAACCTCCAGCAGGAAGCAGTGACACTACACAGACGTCCACGTCGAGGGTTTCCACATGTGTACTGACTTATTCAACATACGGTACGTCCTATGTGTGTGTGTGTGAATCCGTACCGTCTGTGCATGGTTGTCCATGTAAAAGAGTCCAAAGTAGTCCTTCTCCATCAGGTTGAGGTGCTCACACACCTTAAAGAACAGGAACTGGCCTTTGGCCCGTTTCTGAGGAAAAGAGAGATTCAAACAGCAAAGATTAATGTTCGGTCGTTTTTTTTTCCAGTTGAAGTGCGACTTTGTTATTGCCATGGCAACAAAGTTCCTGTTCAAATCCTCGATCAATGCATTTCTGTTCATCGCTTTCATTACGTCTGTCGCACTATTCCGTTCCTCTCTTTCTTCGTCGGTCTCTACGGCAACGCATTCCTCCATCGGCCCGATGGGAGCCGTGGTCATAAAATCCTCCACGCTCAACTATGACAATGACATTTAGCACACATCCATTCGCACGGCGCACGGGCGGGCACGCAAACCCACAATGGCGCCCTTCAAAAGCAGACAGAAGGTCGCACAGAGAGCGTGGTGGAAAAAAAGATGTGCAATAATGAAATAATTCAATAACGTTAATTTCTTTTCAGTTAGTCGGCACAGCTTTGTGCAGACAGACGCACGAGCGCACACACGCACACACACACACACGCACACGCACACGCACACGCACACGCAGCGCCGCCTCACAGACGGAGTTGCACACAGGGCAGTGGGCGTGTACAACATTTTTTTCCTTCTGCAGGATTTTTCCTAAACTTTGACGACAACAAGCGCCAGATTCCCGGTCACCGCATTCTGAACGCCCGCGGAATGTGACCTTCCAGCGTGTTGGCGTCTGTGCCGGCGCGCCCTCGAGCAACATTTATCGATTATCCATCTATTGATTGGCTCTGGACCGTACGCCTTGTCATTGCTGTTCTGTTGCCAGGACGACAGCAAACAACAGAACAAGAAACGCAAAAGGTTCACATTAGGATTTAGATGTTGTCCAGTTTTAGAAGCCCCACCCCCCTCCAAAAAAAACAGAAATAACTGTAAAACATCAACAATTGCAAGATTGACATTGCATCATGTATATGTAATCATGAAGGAGCGGTGAACCACGTAATGACCACGCGATGAACTACGTGTAAACAAAAGGACATGATAAATGCGCCTTGGCGCCATGCGTCCCAAAGCCACTACGCAAACACTACTCGGCGACTTGCGCCGGACACAACCTCCACTCGAGGGTAGACAACGGCACAAAATATGCACCCAGTTATTTCGTCGGAATAAATTAAGATTGCAATACATAGGACGCGATAGAGGGGTGGACGTGAAGAGGCAGAGCAGCAACTGGTGTGCGTGTGTGTGTCTGTGTGTGTCTCTGTGTCGGGAGGCTTGCTGGGCAAAACAGAAAATCCCAGGAATGCATTGTGCATCTCTCGCGACCTCACTATGCCAATGAGTGCAGAGTTCGATAGATGTATGTGTGCGTATGTGCGTGTGTGTGCGTGCGTGTGTGCGCGCACTGCAGGACAATAGCGGTTAATCGCACTAATCAGCGTTTTTCTGTCGGGAGACAAAGCAGCTGCTGTTCAAGCGGCCGTGGACACTCAGAATATTGGACGTCGGCACACTGTCGACGTGGGGGAAAAGGCTCTCGCTTTTGTAAAAAAGTTGCAGGTTGAAATCCAGCAAAACAGGGACACATCTAGACATGGCAAAAAAGTGTGGACGGCCCCTCGCGGGGACACCAGCATGAAGAACATGTGGCCTCGCGGGGACACCAGCATGAAGAACATGTGGCCTCGTGGGGACCCCAGCATGAAGAACATGTGGCCTCGTGGGGACCTGTATGAACACATGTGGCCTCGCGGGGACACCAGCATGAAGAACATGTGGCCTCGTGGGGACCTGTATGAACACATCCGAGTGTGTGTAGAGGGCTCGGTTTGTGCTTTTATTAAACATTGTTCAGAATGAAGCTACAATGTCATGTTTCTGTGGCTCTGAGTGCAGTGCGCATGGAGCCGTGTGTGTGTGTGTGTGTGTGTGTGTGTGTGTGTGTGTGTGTGTGTGTGTGTGTGTGTGCCCGTGTAGCGGCTCTGCATTTATCCTCTTAACCCCAAACAATGTGAGCGGGTGCTTCTGAGTCAGAAAGTTAAATCCCCCCCACTCACACACAGATGTGATCCTATTAGCAATTAGATCATTGGAAATTGATGAAGCAGAATATTATTCCGTATGACGGATTGTTTCTACGTCATCTTACCTCCACCTCGCAGGTGAAGTCGGTCCCGTCCAGGAGGCTCACGTGACACTCCATCAGCTTCATCTTGGTCTTCCTCACCAGGCGGAGGGGAGACTGGAAAATAGAAGTCTGGCCTTCTCCTTCCCCTCGTTGCTCCTCTTCACCGGCCGCGTCCCCTTCCTGCTCCTCCTTCTTCGCCTCCGTCTGCTGCACCTCCTTCGCTCCTTCTCCCTCTGCTGTTGGCTGGGTCTCCTCTTGAACTTTATCAGCAGTCTCCTCCGCCTTGGCGGTCTGACGCAATGGAAGAAGGAAAAAAACAAAAAACAACAAAGGACGTCAAACCACCGCTAAGAAGTGTTCCCCGCCGGGGCAATCGTCTCAAAATGCAGCATCTTCCTCGGTAGCATCAAGTCAATCCCTTAAAACTGGACAGTTTAAACAGAGCTTCTCTTGCTTTTCTCTTTCTCCTCCTTCCAGTCAGATGTGCTCTCAGTAACTGCAGGCGTTTCTTTTGGCCTGGTTACAGAAGCGCTGATGTCACCGGGTGGGCCCGAGTATCTTAATGTGATCACTGGATGGAACCGTTCGCTCTCTGCCGAGGCTGAGCAGCGGTCTACTGGGAGAACGCCAGTCGGCTTCACCGACAAGCACCGAGCCTGACGGAGTATTACCTCGGCGTCCGCGTTGGCGGTGGATTCCTTTTCCTTCACTTGCTCCAACTTTACCGCCTCCTCTTCTCCTTCTTCTCCTTCTTCCACTTCCTCTGCGTGACCGTTCACGTCCGGGGCGGGCTCCTCCTCTTTCTGTGTCACCTCGCCGACGGCGTCCTCTGTGGGCGGCGCCTCCTTGGTCGGGGAGGTCTGTGTGGGTCAGGGGAAACAACACGGACAGATATTAATTACCCAACTAAAATATGCATTCATACACAACGGCTACGATTAGAACCGTGATAAAAACAAGTCACCTGGCTCTGAGACTTCTGCTTCTTAAGCCATGTCGGCAGGTACCGACCTATTCCCTTCCCCTCCTTCCCCTTCTCCTGCCCCTCGCCGCTGGCTACTTCCTGGGCCTCGTCCGCGGCCTTCTCCGATTGGTCCGGCTGAGTGGCCGGCTCCTCGGCTTTCTCCTTCACCTCGGTCTCAGAGCCCGCTTCTGTTGTCATGGTGACGCGTCGACCTGCAGAGCGAGGAGGAAGGAGAGCGATGGGAGATTATTATCGAGCATTCCTACTATACGCGTCGATAGATATTACTTGCGTTTTACATCGAAGGGTCTTTTAAGGATAGGCAAAAACATACAATCATAATCAGCCCACAGCGCACTGAATGTTGCACTAAATCTGTGATAGCACGCGACAGTCTGGAGTATCTTTCATAAATGAGCCACGTGGTCCGAGCCGTCATTTTCTTTTAGAAAAACAAATGTTTCCCAAATGAGACAAAGAAAACTCACAGAACTAGTCAAAGCATTTGGACACACCGTCACACACACACACACACATATATATTAATACATGAGTGTTTTAAAAGAGCTCATGGCTGCTTGAAACATTAGCTCCTGGAGTAGAACGAGTCTCTTTTGCACTAAAAATAACAACATGAAAAACACAACAGTTTAAGATGTCATGATGTCACACGGTGCATTTCATCTGGGTCAACAGCTGGTTAAATGGAGTCACACACACGCAATGAGGGTAAATTACTCAATTCTTATCATCTGAGTCATTGGTTTTTACCCCGCAGCTGTGGTCCGCACACACACACACACACACACACACACACACACACACACACACACACACACACACACATCAACCCAAATACCTTTGGCAGCGTTGTCTACACACCCCATCACAGCAACGCACATGGTAATCTAGCATGACACTAATTTGCTGCCAACACTAGACGAGCATGACATGAGTTTGCGGGGAAGTCGAGGTCAGAACGTGGAAACCTGTCCACGTCGTCCACGTTCCTACTCTTCCTCAGACTTTTTCCTCCCAATTCTACTCTTTCATTACTCTCCATCCCTCCGCTCCTCTGACTCCGTCACCTTCAGTGAGGGGACGAGTTCTTCTGGTGTTGTTCTAAAAATAGAACAGGTCTCCTTACGCATGATCGGCTAACGAGGACGGATGGAGGAGGAAGAGGAGGAGGAGCGCATGTAGGTGAGTTTGAATGTCTGAGTGCTGAAAAGCACAAGAGAGACGAACACATCCGACCTGTACTTTATAAAGAGGGAATCCCACAGCAAACGCCCATCGGTTCCAATCAAAGATGTTAAACATACATTTTATTTGCAGGTCATGGTTTGTTTTTTTAACCCAGACGGAAATATCCCAACAACCTTTGCATGGCTTTCCGTGGAATGTTCTAGTTATTTATGATCACCCCTAGAGGACTAACTATAATGACTTTCTCGTAGCGCCAGCGGGTCGTTCCTGTGTGCACGTCATAGCAGAGACATTCATGGTCCAAGGAGGATAAACCGTCAACCCACGTCCATCACCTGACAAGTTTCTAAGAATTTGGGAAACACGAGCGTATCTTCTCTGGGTCACGCCGGCTCTGCTCCTTCCGTCGTTCCTCCCTTAATCAGAACAGGTCCCCGACTACCCACAATGCACTAGTGGGACTCGCTAGCAGTGCAGTTAGCATGAGACTGCAGCTGTTTCGTCACTGCCTCTGAGGCCCGGCGGGGACTTTGTCCTACGTCTCTCACATCGTCCTCACCTCACCCTGAATCCCTGCACTCATGCCTCTCGATTCCAGGCCTCCCTTTTAAATCCCCCCCCCCCTCCTCCACTCGTATCCTGTCCCCCTAAAAACCCTCGTCTGCCGCTCTCCTTCCCACAGTCCATATAAACAATGCATGAGACATTACAGCCCCTCTTCATATGTACACGTATGCGCAGTGAATGGCCTTCGCTTTGCCCGTCTCACCTTTGACTCGTATCTTACAGATTGGCTTTCAACTCAGAGTCGGATCCGGTTTTCTCCGACATAAATTCCTCCTACTCGGAGAGTTCTACTTGATGGTCACCGCGGAGATGGATGAAGAACTTCTCTAAGTAACGGCACTGTAGAAGCTCACTTCTCCAGTGGCTTCTATTTTTCAAAGTAACGGATGATGAAATGAACCGATGGAACGCCCCTCAGGGCTCCTGCCTCTCAGAGAAACAAGGGCAAGAAAACAGGAGGTGGGGGGGGGGGGGGGACTACACCTACTTTGCCATATCGCTAATGGATAAGAGCACGAGGAACTGCAATTAACTGCAATTCATCACTTTGTCGTCACTTGTCACTTTGTCTCTTGTCTGTTACTTGTTTGTTAGTGCACTTTATGCTTAATATTTTTCTTAACTTTTTAATATTTAATTTTTTTTAACTTTATTCCCCTGTTTTATACTAACCCATAACATACAACATACAAAATCCGTGTATGTTTGACATATTTTGGCAAATAAATGTTTCCTGATTCCTGAGGATCTACAGCCGACCGCCCCCCCGAGTCTCTACAGCGAGCCGCCCCCCAGCCTCGGCCCGCGGTTACATTCTTTCAAGGAAACATTACTGAATTAATTGGAATCAGACGTGGACCTTTCACGGGCGTCACGTCCCATCGCGTGGAGAGTCTGGTGCCGACTTTTATATTCGCTTTACCTTCCTCAACACGAGAGCGTCACAAACACCTGGGACTCGGGTCTGTCTTCGTAGCAACAACATCTTCCTGACTCAATCCGTGGCCACGATTTTATTGGGGAGAGAGGGGGAGAGAGAGGGGGGAGGGACAAAGAGCGGTAAGCCGGCCGGCTTTATTGGTGCTGCCGTCCCGATGAAGCGACACCACTACTCTCGGTCTAATAAATAAAACAACACTCGCCGCTGCCCACCTCCCTATAAAAAGGGGGTGGGGGGAGGCTGGCGAGGGAGGGGCGGTGGGTGGCGGCTGTTTCCGTGGCAACGACAGGCACGCGCTACAACAATAAATCCCCATGGAGACAAGAGATTACCACGGCAAAACTGGGGATTAGTGGATGAGCGCGGAAGTGACAATGGAGATTAGAGCGCGCCTAAACCCGCTCCAGACCACATCCGATTTACAGCAGATATTCATGCCTGACCGACAGCAGCCCCCCCAGTGCCCCCCCCACTCCCTCCGCACCCCCCCCATCGCTTAGGATGTCAGTAACCGCCCTGAGTGTTGGTTCACATGATCGAACACGCAATTAAGTGTTTTAACTGATCCACAAAAGGTTTTACACGGTGACTTTGATCAAATTAAAGTGGGACTAATTGTTTCAAAATCCAATGCAGCACTGGGACGTCCTATAATGCTTTGTGCAACCACACACACACACACACACACACACACACACACACTAATCTGTGCTGTTCTCTTCTACGATCTGTCCATCTGTCCCACAATGACAGACCCAGATACGTCAACCACACAGTCAGAGAATCAGTAACGGACACGCTGGCTCTGGGATCACGCTGTCAATCATGCAACAGACACGTGCGTGTGCGCATTCGCGCCGCTGGTGTGAAATTTATGAACATGTTTGGCTTCCTTTACACTGCACTCTGACCCTCAAATTGAGGATTACACCGAGGATAATCCCTGTGTGTGTGTCTGTCCATTCGTCCCTCCATCTTCCCCAAAGACGTGCGTCTCAGTTTGAGCTGAGACGACTGGTCAGCTCATAAAAGGTGTGTTTAAGTGAGCAATGCTGTGCCATTACGGTTGTTACCGTGTTATTACTGTACGCTGCCAAACCACAGGCAGTAAAAAGACACCACGCATATTCAACACCAATATGCTCAATTCAGCTCTTTAGGTTATTAAGACTAATATTTAGAATGAGTTACTTTATTAATCCTGCAAGTACATTTATGCTCACTACAGCAGCATTTAAACACACACGTGTTTTGGTGTTACACGGCTCTTTCTGCGTGCGTGTGTGTGCAGGTTGGCGCATAACCGCTATTGTTAGCTGCTAAACCCCTATTCAGCGATCAAAGCAGTGAGGCACGAGTGTGTGTGTGTGTGTGTGTGTGTGTGAGACAAAGATGAAATGTATGGCTGGTTGACGTGAGATGAGGTAGTTTGCTCTGAATGTAAGAGACGCGGTGAATAGACGAGCCGCTTGGTCTCTCTCGTTGGGTGTGGTGTTGCCACGACAACCCACATCCCGTCAAGGCCGATAACAACAGGTGCCTCTGCAAAACAAGTGACTCCATGGAGGCTCATTATGACAGCGGCCCGGCGGACACACACACACACACACACACACGGGGGGGGGGGATCATATTATGACATACGGACACACAACAAAAGAGATCTCGCATATTAAATCGTAACCAGACGAGATGCACGCGGCTCGACTCTCTGAAGTTTGCTTCACAGCGATCGATCAGCGGAACTCGCTGCAACGTCATCGGTGAACTGTGAGCTCTTGGGAGGAAAGAAAAACAACAACAACAACAACAACCTGGAGGACTTTAAGCATCTGTGAGCCGCATCAGTAGAATCAATGCAAACACGCAACACGCTCGCTCAGCAGCACCAGTGCAGTGATCAATCAGCGTGAATATAAAGCACACACACACACCTGCCTGACACCCATTTAACCAAACTGCTAACCTTAACCCCAGAATCTAAAATTAGCCCGTGGACGCCATGACGGATGTCCTCATTATCCAACACTCACCCTGTTCTCTCCATCAGCGGAGGACTCGCCGCCTCTAGAGTCCGGACACGCGCGGCTCTGCTCAATGACCAGACAGATTAGTTTGTATCAGTTCATCCCAGACAGGTGACCTCTGACCCCTGACCAGGAAGCAGGAAGCGTGGCATAGGGTGAGGGGGGGGGGGGGGGGGGGGGGCCCAACTAGAAACAGGCCCTCCCGTTTCACTGGCGTTATCTCCGCCTCTCTCTCTCTCTCTCTCATTAGTGAGCAGAGCGCAAAACAGCCACGGGATCAGTTTTTAGCATCTCGAGGCCACAACCAAAGGATGTGGAGATGAGACACCGGGACCTGTAGCGCCACATCAGTTTGGTAAAAAAGGCGGAGGCTCCGCTCAGCCGCTCCCTGTGAGAATGTGACCCCCCCCATGCGGATTAATCTGTTTTTAACTACGCTTGGCCACCTGCCAAAGCCCACGGTGTTTGTATTCTATCGCCGCTTTGACAGCGAGACACTTGCTGCCCTCTCGTTACGCCCCGTGACATAAAAAGTTGCCTTTCAACACAATGACTTTTCTATTTTCCTCTAAAAAAAAGAGCCTCTTGTTGAACGCGGCAAAAAAAGAAAGAAGAAAAGGACTCTAATGGTTCCGACGCACCGCTACATCTCCGTCTCCCTGCCGGGGATAAGCTGAACGTTGCATTAGTTTCCATTCATCCGCGCCCCTCTGATCCGCTCTGCGTAAGGGCGGCGCCCGCGGAGCCACGAATGCGGCCACCTTTAGTTCATTGTTGAGACCGACCCCGATGTCACCGCAATCCCACGGGGAGACGAATGCTTTGAGTTGGACTTTTAAAAAAAACACCTTGATGTGTTAGAAGGCAACTATAAAAAAAGAAGAAGAGACTGTTTGAAAGGAGGTTTTTGTCTGAAAACACAGTCGGTGGTCAGATGTAGACGTGGGACAGTAGACGTGGGACAGTAGACGTGGGACAGTATCTGTGTGTGCCTGAGTTGATGTGACGGGCTCCTGTTGGAGGGTCAGGATGGAAACACACACACACACACACACACACACACACACACACACACACACACACTCGGGGATGTTCCCATAGCCTTTCCGAATGGTTAGGCAATCTGTCGCCCTCCCTCCGTCGCTCTCACTCAGCCTCTCGTGTCCCACTCTCACTCACTTCCTCTCTGGCTCCATCAGTGTTCCCTTCCTGTCCCTTTTTGTCAACTCACCTCTAGTATTTTTTCCCGGCCGTCCTTCCACTCACAAGGTGAGGGAGAAGAGTACAAATGGAGAACTGCACACAAGCATTTGTTTTTGTGCTTTCCGACTGGTGAAAATCTGCAATATTCTTCTGTAGAATACGAAAACAAAAGAGAGGCCCGATTACGTTCCACCATCTCTGTACGACAGCCACAGTGTGTATCCTTAATACACCTGTTCACCTGTCCTTTCTGCCTGAGAACAGAGGAAACAGGGAAGAAAGGCTGCGCTGGGTCTAATGAGCGGATTCTCCCACCAGAACCACCAATTAAGGGCCTCTCATTAGCGAGGTCCACAGAGCCGCCACTGTTCTGCACAGCGCAAGAGGCCGGGGATGAACACGCCACTGATGATTATAGATCAATGGCGCGCGCACACACACACACACACACACACACACACACACACACACACACACACACACACACACACACACACACACACACACACACACACACACACACACACACACAGCAGAGTTCTTCTCGCTCACACCAAAGCGAACAGAAAATGCTCCAGTGCAGACTATTTCTGTCTTTGCATTGAAAGTAGTACCTTTGTAACGCTTGAGAGAAAGAGAGAGGCCGTAAATTTAACACCACGATCATTTTAGTGTTCTTAGTCTTCTGCATTCTCAGATTGATCAAGTCGGAATGTAATTGTAACACCGAATGAATAAAAGGGATAAAGTACCACTATGAAGTCCGTTTGATCCACGACCAGGTCAACAATACAAAGTAAAAATAAATGAAATGTAAAGACATGGAAATGGAAGCATCCATGAAAACGACTGTGTGTGTGTGTGTGCGTGTGTGTGTGCGCTCATCCTCTCATCTTCCGTGTGATGCTGACTCCGTTACGTAACTGGTTCAATTCCACGGGCTTTCCTCTCTGCTCTCAGGGAGGTTTAGGAGGCGTTTGAGGTCCCGCCTCCGTATTCTAACTTAACGTAGAAATGGGTTTTGCGAAGAACACACGCGTCATACGTGTTGAAAAGCCACTGCCATCACCTCAGGGTTGAAGAATTGCACTCGGTACTAAATGGGAACCGATGCGGTCTAAATCGCTACAAACAAACAAAAAGCATGAAAAGACGCTTTTCCCGTATTCGTGAAGTCGTGCCAAAGAAGCCTGATGTCCTCCATTTTCTATCTCACCTACATTCCTTTCCCTCAGAGGAGAACAGACAATAAGGCCGTCGGCACCGGAGCAGAGTTGTGCTGATTAAAAGTGGCCCCACACACACACAAAGACGGATTAAAGGGTGATTGTTAGTTGCATTCGCCTAATATGAGTGTGTCTGAGCTGCACAGGCCTCCTATCACACAGTTCCTGATGAAGCCGCGGTACGTTTGCCCCGAAGGGAGAGAAATGTAAACAGATGGAGCTCGATGGGACGTTTTACACGTCAGCACAATCTCGGATCAGTCCGGTCCGTCTGCGAACTAGTTGAACCTTTGCCACCTGTCAGACACAAGCATGACTTTTAAAGTGCAGGTACACACATTGCCGTGAAATGGGAGTAAGAAACGTTTAGATGAGAACCGGTGGTGCGGTGGAGGGCAGACACACCTGAACTGAAGTTTTAGGCCTTTTAAATAGCAGAAATGTCCCGTGCGTGTTGTGGTTTACATGATCTGATGGTTTAAAACAGTTAAATTGATCACTTGAGCCAATTATCTCGTAAAAAGGGGTCAAACGGGTCAACTTTTCAACAACAAAATAAGGCATTTTTACACCCAACCACCATTGACGAACTGGTCTGGGCTTTTCCCAATTTTGGAATTCTTTCAAAAGCTCTAAATGATCAATAACAAGCATTACAGATTGGTGCTATTTGATCATGCCAGCTGTTCCACACACTGTTAACTTGTCTTTTAACTCGTGCGGATGCTGTGAAAATCCCGGTTGCCACAGTTACAACTGGGACATCTTCTGTATTCAGTAACGGGCAAACAGGACTACATTTCCCAGACGTCTTTGTAAACCCATTTCCATAATGAAACCAATCACTTGCATCCAGTTAAACCCAAAACAGCGCGTGTCGCTGCAGGAGGAAACACACCATATTTCCCCGTGGGAAACGGACACAAACGACAACGAAACTGACACATTATCGAGGTTCTCGACGGCATCGAGCCGCCGAACGAACCTCTGCTGCTTTTATTTATTTTTAAAGCCGAGGAGGTACGAAAGCAGGACACGAATCGCCCCGCTGAGCCGGACGTTGGAAGCATTTGAACGCACCGTTCACGTTAGCGTGTTTAGAGGAGAAGAAACCGCCAACGGAAACTAACCGTTACCGTTACGTTAACTCACCGCGGCGGCGTTCGCTTGCACCGGGAAATATTAACACTTAACATGCAAAAAAAAAACAACGTAATTTCAAACCGCGGTACACGTGGGTTCGGTTTAAGCTAAAGGCGTGTTTTCGGTAAAGCGGCGATGCTAACCGCATGAAACACGGCGCGAGATGATGAGCAGGGAAGGAGAGGCGCCATGAAGAGCCTTTAAACGCCGCACCGGCGGCATGACTGCGACTCCGGATAACGGATTTCACTGAGAAAACGTCACCGTCTCCGTTAAATGTGGTTCTGATTACCGCGGTTGCTGGTGCAGGTCGAGTACCTGTACGTGTTCTGCAACAAAACACGGCGAGTATCCGCCAAAAAAAAAAAACAGCATCGAAGCAGTGGCTAACATATTTAATCACGTGATTTTAAAAAAAAGGTGGTGATGTTAAACGTTTACCTGTTTCGATTTTCAGCGAAACGCGTGGGGAGCTTCTCCTAACGTGGCCTCTCACTCCGGTCTCCTCCAAAAAATAACGTGCGTCCCACTATCTCAACCTCCGGGGAAAAAAAAAAATCCCCGGTAGAGTCCGCACCGAAAATCTGGCCTGGGCTCAAAGCAGGACATGCCCATCATCTTCAAGTCCCGCCCCCGTAGTTAATGACATCTTGTATCGGTCTCTCATTGGCTCAGAGGGGGCACTGTCGTATATACTGAGATATGATTGGTTCCCCGCGCGGTCCATTCGTTTTGTGGGTGGGGGGACGGGAGGGGACGTTGGTTGGCAGATGTGGCGGTACCGTTTTGGCACGGTGACGCCCTCTAGAGGATGTGTGGCATCACTGCAACACGGTGAGGACGCAGTTCGCTGTTTTACTTCGTTTACTCGCATTTAGTCCGCAATTTTAGCAGAAATCTGAAGAGTAAGTTATATTTTGTATCATTCAATTAAAAAAAAGAGTATGAATGGACCTAAAATGAATGGATGATTTCACACAACTTCCAGGTGTGTTTTGTCAACTTTTCTAGACATCTTTGCTATTGTCTTTGCTTTGATATTTCCTCACAACTTCAACAACTTTTTGTCACACTGTTCACATCCGATATATATATTTTTTTTTTTTAATGAAAAAACGCTGCAGTGCAGTGAAATGAATATTTTGCAACTGATACTCAACATCTGTCCTTCACATGCAAAAACCTAAATGATTATGTCTATGACACACTCCCACATGCAAAGGACCCACTTGTCATTGCATAACATGAGGAATGGCTTCTGCCACACTCACACACGTTACATACACACACACACACACACACACACACACACACACAGATTAGAGCAGCTCAAGTAATTGGCTTATAAAGCAGCGTGACTAAATGAAAGAGGTGGAGTAAGTCACCGCATAGGAACATCAGCGGGTGAAACACTAATAACACTTACTCATTAAAACATTTTGTGACAGTGTGTGTTTCAGTGCACTCACCGGAAGTAGAGCAGCATGGATCCAGCAGAGAAGCACAGCAGGCCGATGGAGCACAGACACACACACACACACACACACACACACACACAGAGGGAAATTTAATATCAGACTCTTTTTTTAAGCCTAAACACATCCACATGTTTATTTTACGAGCGGCATCTGCCACAGTTTGCATTCAAAAACCAAGGTTCAACATTGACAGGTTCAGATACAACTTCACGCAATTACATTACACCGATCAAGCAGTTTGGTTGCTCTTACATGCTCCCCACATTAAGGGAATGAAGCGTGAAGACGCGCCTCTGAGCGCCGTCTACCTGTGAGTCTGAGCATCCAGTCATGAGAAAAGCATCTCTTTTTAATGACAACACGCAGCACATCTCCACTCTTGCACGACAACAAGCAGCCGGGTGTCAGTTTTAACGTTATTGACTCAAGAGACAGATGTTGGGAGGGTTGAGAGGAGACGCACGCACGCCGCTTCGATACAATCACACAAACAAAACGGGGCTGATGGAATTATGGTCTCCTCCCTCTGTCCCCAGAGCCAGCAAACCCTTCTGGCCTCGCCGAGGCCTTCAATTGAATTTCAACCTTTCTGAGGAGGAAGCGCACAGAACAGCATGACCGTTATCAGTCGGGCTCGTGATGACATCATCACAGGCCGGGCCGTATCACTTCATCAATACCCCTAAAAACGTGTGGGAGCGGTCGCTTGAAACAACACCTGAGACACAGAGGGGACTCTAATTAACACGTCGTATCTGCTACATAAGGGACAACGGACTGATTACATCACCTGGATTCACACTCTAGAGCGCTGATGTCATCATGAAAGTTTGTGATGCTCTGATGGCGCCTTGCACTTTGTAGTTTAACGCCTGTTTGCCAAACAAAACATCTAGAACACCGACTGGGTCACAATGAAGACACAAACGCAGCAAATATACAAGGCCTCTACAGATACCGCAAGCTGATCCGAATATATTTATACGGAGAGAAAAGGTGGCTTACCCGATCGTCAAAAGTCCCATTGTGCAAAAATAGTTCCCACACTCAGATTAAGTGTTGACCTAATCAGCCTTATCTAAGACCTCTCTCTCTCTCTTCTCAGCTGCTCCACCTCCTCAGCACACACACACACACACACCAACGTTCTCCCGGTGTCCTCGCTGCAGAAACACCCAGCAGAATGACCCACGGGGTCGATGAGCCGGCTTGGCTGTCAGAAACGCAGTGTCCTCCCCGGCCGGGGCCTTGGGCGAGGGCCAAGGTGGAGGCCGAGGTTGGGGGCGGTTTCTCGTGCAGGCGTGAGATCAAGCCGGTGCAGATTCTGCGGAGGATTAGTGGCGAGTCCTCCTGAGGGGAATTACCGCGACGCAGCCATCTGGACAGCAGGGCGCTGCGCACTGGCCCGACTACCTGCCCAGGTGCTTTGTCCGTCTTCTGCAGCTGACCCGAGAACAGCTCAATCCTTCAGCCCTGCACCGCTGCACCCTTACAAAACCAAGGGTGTGCATTTCATGGGTGGAATGCACGGTTTTTGGAAGGTTTTCTGTTGTTTTTCGTGACCTCTCCGAGCTTTACAATAAGAGATCTAAGTAAAACGACCTTTTCAAACTGACATCCAGCTGCACCAGTTATCATGTTTCACATGTGAGAAAAAGAATGTGCTTTCATGTCGGTATAATACCCCATTGTAATATCCCTATTATACTATCCTGTGTTATTAAAATATCTGAGTATCTCCACCCACAGTCTGAGAACAACCTTTGCAAAGGTGCTCTGTATTTTTCTCCCCGACCAATCACAGCGGGTTATTTCCCGAGGAGACTCTTAAAGAGACAGGTGCTAAAAAAAGTGTATCCAGTCAAGGTATAAAAACAACTGTGTTTTAAAAGAAATATCTAAGCATTTAGGTTAGAAACCTAAAATACAAGTTTGAAGCTGACAATGATGATGCTATAAATATACGATTCGCGATTCAAGTCAACGTGTAACCAATACATGTCACCTGCTACACGAGGGGCTTCACTGCAATGAAACGACTGTGCTACACAAGAACACCACCACTATACATACATACATCACAACACACCACACCCTGCCTACACAATATCCTGCTCACTCGAGTGAAGCCCATTTTCAACTTTTTAATCAGTTTAGCAAAAGCAAAAATACAGCGAAGGCTCAAAAAAACGTTTTCCTCCTCTGAACAAAAGCACACGTAATCAACACAGACGCACGTTTCTCATCACCCTCCTCTGCTTTCATCACACTTATTGATCCTTTTTATGACTCCGCTCTGCACATGAACACATTGTCGAGTTATAAAAAATTGGGACATTCATTCATATATACAGACACACACACATTTACAGACATTTACACACCCTGGGTGAAGACACGCACACACACACACACACACACACACACACACACATTCAACCCCTGCACTGAACTATACACTAATACAAAATACAAGCACATAAAACTGAAGGTTACCTGACAACCACTTTTGGATGGAGCATTTCCTCTCTTGACTCCGCTTCAAATAACACAAGAACCCTGAACAAATACGTCAAGTTATGTCAGGTGTCTCTCTCTCTCTCTCCCTCTCTCTCTTTTCCTCTCTTGCACGTCTTTTTGTTTGCCGTAACCCTAAACTTCAGGATCACGTGTCAGACACGGGAGTGAGGAAGAGAGAACTTATTAAAGAGAAACAACCCAGTCAGAAACACCAAGAACGTTGAGCACAAAGCAGAGAGAAGGAGCTTTTGCAGGGTGCACCCGTGGGTGGCGCCTCGTCCTTATCATTGCTATTAAAAGGGAGAGGGTGATAAACACGTCGCTCTGATACTTGTTCTTCAAACATCACTTCACCTGAGCGGCGAGAGTCTGCCTTTGGCAAATATTAGTTTGTGTATTTTCGTTAATCAGGTTCAGAGAGGAGCTTCAGGGAATTAATGTAACATGTTACATGTACACATGTTACATGTGTACATGAATCTGTACACATGTAACATGTGTGTGTGAGTTTGTAAACATGAACAGCCGTGTCTTGACTTGAAAGAAAAATACACAAAAGTGTGTTTGTTTTCTGTCTATCACCAAACCTGGAGCAGTTTCTATGGCAACTGTGGGACCACGTGGGCCCTGAATGCATCACAACAGAAGAGGTCGTACCCGTAAGTAAGAGGCAGGGTGATCGTAAATGGACATTATGCCGTATGGATTATTTACAATCGGTTCACTCAGTTCAGTTGTATATTTATCTCCTACATCCATCACCCAATGACATAAGTATCATCTGTCGTAAGAGCAAGGAATTATCCAAAAAGTATCAAATAAAGAATTGTTTAAATGTTCAAATATCAAAATCATACAGACCACTAGAGGACAGCAGCTGCTCTCTGCACCTTAAATCTGATTCCATGACAGACAAAAGGGAAAATAAAAGTCTTTAAAACACAGCGATGTTTGTCCTGAATAGAGCAGATTGTCTTCGTTTAGGAACTACGGTTTGAATTCATTGGTCAGTGAGATGAGCCTGTAGTTCTCCTCGAGTGTTAAACGTCCTTTCATTCCTTCAAGCCTCACCCTCCAAAAAATGTGAGGAATTTTATGTGTTTCGTACGGAGAGAGTTGCAAGGACACACTTCTCACTCCAGATAAACAGCGGCGTGTCTCGCAATGCATCCCTGCTGCTCGCTTCAAACGGCCTCCAGTTAAATCTGTTGTAACAGAGAATCGCTTCAGATGAGTTGATTGACTGATTGTAACAACCCCACCGACTCTCCCCGTGCACACAGCACACAGTCAACGTCTCTCAAAGTTCACGTCACTTTCAGTTCCATGTCAGTTTTACGGACATGGAACTGACACTGTGCCCCCCCCCCCCCCCCCATA